GTATAGAGGAAATCTGGATCAGGAGCTCGCAACAAGATCATCATTTCAACTCGGGGGGGGGGCAGAGTAATTGTTTTCTATTCTACAGCCAATTTACCACAAACGAAACGTTGCGAGCATCTCATAACCCTATCGCTAGTTTCATGGCAAATTTCCAAACAAACTATATATTGTTTAGTTGGTGTAGTGTTCAGACGTTTGCAGCCTGGATCTGACCAGCAACGTACACAGTGTCGACTCGTTCTCATCTCCTTTTTTATTCCACTGGTACAAAGGAAGTTTCATTCGAAAGCTTCTTTCTCAGGGGTTTTATTTTGTGGGACAAATCCCTGAAAGAACGCTTCGTGTCCAGGATCAACTTTTATCTATCCTACATATCCTCATAATATGAACTTAGTTTTTACGCCCTTATAGCATTTATTAACACTCTATCTTGAGTGTCTCTTGGGCCTTATATTGGATGAATAATATAAAAAAATATTGGAAAAATAATTTTGAGACAGAATATTTATTCTGTTGAATGTAAACGGTGTCTCTCTTGAAATCATATTTCAGAAGGATTTTTGGAATATTGAATTTCTTGTGAAAGAATTTCAAATTAATTGATATTGCTTCAGGGAATTTTTTTTTTACCTGGCTTTCTTTTTTTTCTCCATATGGATTGGGTGGATTGTAAATGTCCCCCTTAGTTGACGGTACATGGGGTAGAGAGCTGGAGGTGGGAGAGTTTTTCCAATAATTTTACATTCTTCTTTATTTTGATTCTCTTTTTATTTGGAGTTTTACATAGTACTTTTCACGACACGCATCGTTCACGATCGTTGTCACTTCGTTCAATAATCGAAACTAGATCAGATATTTGAAACATGGGCGTGTAACGAATTGAGCCTAGGAAGGGAAAGCAATGGCGACAAGTATTTTACATGTAATTTCTTTTTTTTAAATATCTTTTTAAGAAATGTTTGAAACGAGTTCATTTTTCTACGTGATTTTCTGATAATGGTATTTGGGTAATAACAATGGCCCTTCAATCAATATTTTCTTTCTGTAAGCTTTCCTTCATATTTTATATGAAGAAGTATCTCTACGATTTATGTAACAGACGACAGAACATATGACGTAGCATTAGCGGAAGAAGTCTTTGAGAAACTAAACGAAGAATTAAGACATAAGAAAATATCGTAGGAAGCAAAAAAAAAAAATGTGCTGGACAGCTATGGTAAGGCTAATGGTAATATCAACCGTTCGATATTTATTGATCGAGCAGCCAGTGGCACCGTTAGCTGAAATTTATAAAACCTTTCTCTTAAAATATTTTTTCATGAATATAGGCTTCTCAGATCTAGTAAATTTTTTCCAGTATTGATGGGATGTTATCTCCTAACCTTTTTGTTGCAATGGAATGTTCCACTCTCCTTATTGCCTATTGTGGATTGACTATATCATTAAATATATAAAGTGTACACAGGATATATCTGAGACTTGCTTCGGCAATTGGAGATTCGTCTCCAACTAAGCTGGTCGAACTCTCCGCCTTCGGGCGGAGAGGAACCCAGACGAGGCTATGCCGAATGGCAGAGTGTCATCTGGGGTGGTAGACAGTTACACGGCCCCGTTTTTTACGCGGTCTAAGGGGAATTTTTGCTCGAGCCTACGGGCTCGGATACCCCACTTTAAATTCGGCTTTGGTTCACATCTGACCGCGTGGGGCCGTTAGCAAATATCCTTGCTTCGGCAATTAGTTGGAGATTTGTCTCCAGCTTTGCTAGTCAAACTCTCTGCCTCCGGGCGGAGAGGCTCCCTAGATGAGGCTGTGTCGAGGGGCGGGGTCTCTTATCGGGAGGCAGCTGCTCGACCCCGTTTTATACGGGGTCTGCGGGAAATTTTTGGCCGAGCCTACTGGATCGGATGTCCCACGTTTAATTCGGCCTTGTGACGCATCTGACCGCATGGGGCGATCGGTAAATATCCTTGCTTCGGGAATTACTAGCCTGCTAACCGATTCTCTGTCTTTCAGTAGTGTATTCTCTTTTACAATAAACCTGTCTTTCTTTTATCTACGCCTGCGTTTCTGTTCCTTTCACTTGAGTACTTGTTAGTAACCTCTTTAAGGATACAGCACTTTTCCTGTGAAGTACTGTGGAACGTCAATATTATAATGATGTTATTATTTTCTCTTGGAATGTATAATCTTCGATATGGCAGTGAATATTGAACAATTTCCTTACAGATAAAAAAGAGATTTAATATGACAGAGACGTAGTTCTACTGACGAATGCTGAGGATACGGAGAACAGAATTTGAGGGCTACGAGAAAAATCGGAAGTGAAATAGAAAACCAGTAAACATACAATCCAAAAAAGACAATAATGAGTAAAGAAGACTGAGTAAATAATTCTTTATTTTGATTCTCTTTTTATTTGGAGTTTTACATAGTACTTTTCACGACACGAATCGTTCACGATCGTTGTCACTTCGTTCAATAATCGAAACTAGATCAGATATGTGAAACATGGGCGTGTAACGAATTGAGCCTAGGAAGGGAAAGCAATGGCGACAAGTATTTTACATGTAATTTCTTTTTTTTAAATATCTTTTTAAGAAATGTTTGAAACGAGTTCATTTTTCTACGTGATTTTCTGATAATTGTATTTGGGTAATAACAATATCTCTTCAATCAATATTTTTTTTCCTGTAAATAATGAGTAAATAAGACTGAGTAATTAACACCTGGATAATTTAAAACTCACAGGACATACCGAAGACAAGAGAAGAATGGGGTGACTTTGAACAACCTTGTTATGTGAATGGATATCATAAGGACAATAAGAAATGGTAAAATATAAAAAAAAAATGACATTTCCTAGGAGAGTCATGGTCGCCCAACTATATTCACATATATGCCTATATGCACAGAATATTGTTTAATTCCTTTGCCCGCAAAAGAAATATGAAGTGCTGTTAAAGCAGGATATTGTCCTCTGCTCTTTAAGATAATCGATAACCCGGAAGGATTGTCTCAATTGCCAAACCTGTTTCTCATTGATCGTATATGGAATAGGATGCAACGATGTTTGAATTGTTAAATTAGCCCACCTACACCTCTTGGTGTATTATCACAACTGGTGGAGACTTATGAAATAATGGATTCAATGATAGTTTTGGCATTTCCTCAATAGTAAGCATGCAAAAATGCTGATATATATTAATGCCTAACGGAGATATAGAGTACAATAATATGGAGTTAAGTACAGTTGAAATAGTTGCGCAATTTGATCTGTTCGTGTGATCATTTATAGCAATTTGACTATATTAATCTTGAGTATATTGAACCACATATCCAGGGTTTTGAAATTAAAATAAAATAAAGTCCTAGTAAAAATTTTAAAAAAAGTTACCAATATTCTGAAGGAGTCTTAGACAGGAGCGTTGACTTTTTTAATATTTTGAATAACTACAAAACATTTCGATTTTAAACTTGTCTTCATAAAGTCAGATTGACGAAACGCGTCGGCAATGACTAAGAAATATTATTCCATTTGTCCTTTTTCCATATATATATATATATATATATATATATATATATATGATAGAAATCCAGGAGGATTTGAGATAATTAAGTAATTCCTCGAGTCGAGAACAAACCTCAACAGAATGCAGAAATATATATATATATAGGGTGTATCAAAAATACTTTTACAAACTTTGGGGTGATTTCCTCACACCAAAACAAGGGCAAAAATCCATATAAACATGTGTTCGCAAATCCTTCGTTTTTTGAGTTATTAAGATTAAAAATGTTTACGGTAGATGGTGCTGTACTATCACGTAGACTAAGTTGCATTTGTCATTCGTCTACATTTGTGGCTAGTCTGTCTTGATTGTTTAACGTATGTAGTTGTGAGTTAACTGAAAAGTGTTCTGTTTAACAATAGAAAAATATTCATATGGTGAGCGGGCAGATATGATTTCTCCATACAGCCGCGCGAATGGTAATGGAGCCGAGGTTGCACGGCTGTAGCAGATTGTATTTCCAGACCGAAGACTGTCGAGCCATCCAACTTTTGCTCCTGTTTATTGTCGCGTTGCTGAAAACAAGAACCGTGGCACCAAAAACTATGGATCGAGGAAGACTGAGGAAGACCGAAATCCGCCTGATCGCGAAGAACACATTCTACAGACTGTTGGAGACGCTCCAGAAATCATCACAAGTCATTGGCCCTAGTGTATCGTACTGCATGGAGGGTAATTCAACAGCAGCTTCCGTATCCGTATCATCTACAACGTGTGCCGGCTGATTCGTCCTCTGGAACTCACCACCGGAGAACGTTTGCCGAAGGTTTATTGCACAAACCGCCGATCCGTTGTTCATATCTTCAGTCTGGTTTACGTATGATGCAACTTTTGGAGAAGAATGAATAACAAATTCACGCAACCAACATATGTGGGCGGATCGGAATGCACCCCTAATAATGGATCAATTGTAAACTACAACTTGAAACCGTACACCTAATAATGGATCAATTGTAAACTACAACTTGAAACCGTACACCTAATAGTGGATCAATTGTAAACTACAACTTGAAACCGTACACCTAATAGTGGATCAATTTTAAACTACAAGTTGACACCGTGCACCTAATAATGGATCAAATGTAAACTACAACTTGAAACCGTACACCTAATAGTGGATCAATTGTAAACTACAACTTGGAACCTTAACCCTAATAGTGAGGCAATGATAATATACAATTATATCATGTGTTATTAAATGCCAAAATCTAAATATTTTGAGCACAATTTTGTTTACGAGAAAATAATGGTTTTAGCGATACATGTTTTATTAATTAGCCCATAGATGGGACGAGATGAGTCGGATTCATTCCCATCCCAAGTGTATTTACGCGGAGGTTAATATAACAAAACCAACTGGAAATTGGAATTCAGGTATCCGATTAACAATTCCAGTCATTGTCCATTATACCACCCGTTCATCCAAGCTTACAGCACCTAGTATTTCTCAGCAGTCTCTCATCTAGGTACTCATCGCCTTCGATGTTGCTTAACTTCGGTGATCTTAAGGGAAAGGGTGTTTCAACATGGTGTGGCCATAAACCAAAATACAACTTGGAACCGTAAATTTTGAGACAATCGTAAACTGCAATTTGAAACCGTAAACCAAATTTTTTTATTACCTTGTCTTCTGTCGTCTCTTGTTTTTCTTTCGTATCGCTTTCCTTTTGTTACTGCAATGTTTTTTTAATGCTCTAGTGTTAGTTAATGGTATTTCTGGTCCGTTTCTTTCTTACTTTAGGTCTCTCTTATGTTATTTAAAATAATAGGCGTTAAATGAGGTTAAATTTGAAAATTATTCTTCTAAGACTAAAGGAAACTGATAAATGCAAAGAAAACTGATAAATTTATGAATATATTTTGGGTCAGGAGTCTTCCATCTGAGGAAACTGTTAATGGTATCTTTCATTCTGCTTATATTGTGATTCCTGTCGTAACTGGTTTCAGCGCACCAGACCCCAGTGCCACTTTATAGACTCTATCAATGAAAAGCATTTTCTTTTTCTTATTCGTTTTATCATACGAGCGGGGCATCCGTGATACTGGAACACGCGTGTTAGCGGGAAGTGGATGTTCAAGGAAACTCATACAGACTCGTTAGCTTAGCATCCCGTCACGTGCAACCTTAACCTGTCCATGGAAGCTGGATTTGGAAAGCTTCCGGCTCTTTGACGACTTCGTGGGGTTTAGGTCTTATACCCAAAACTTAGACAAAGACAATCCATCACCGTGAAAATTCCATGCCCACAATCGCTCGCCATCATGATCCAGCCTCTGCATTCTGCAGCAACATCAAGGTCTAAAAATGAGGGCATAGTTTCTTGAATATTTCATTCATCTGCAGTGTTTAATAGTTACTTCTTGGGCCGCTATTTCGTTCTGTAAGCGGTGAGTAAAATTTCTACAAACCTATGACCCATTTACTCACCTTACATACCCGCGCGACCAACGTAGATATTGAATAAAGGCCATATGCAATTTTTTTTTTAACTCCAGCAAAAGATACGCCTATCATTCCATTATAAAAACCTTTTCGGTGTGATGTGCAAAACAGATTTCAGATTGTAGTTTTTTAGTAGTATTATATATATATATATATATATATATATATATATATATATATATATATATGTTACTCTGACAGTTTTTCTGCATTGCAAAGCATCCGATCTTATTCATTGCCTCTTTTAACATTCGATTCTATCAGAAGTGGGAAAAAATAGTAAAGTGACGAATAAATGAAGTTTCCTGTCAGAGAAAACGAAATCTGAACAAAAATCCAGTCAAGTTAACTTTTCTCTAATTCTTTTCTTTCTTCTTTTACTCCATATTCTCCCGCCTTCTACTTCTCCTGAACTTCTATTCATATATCGATCGAAGGCTTCCCTGTCTATCCATCAAATCTCGATCGATGTATCGCAGACAGTTCAATTTTATAACTAACTCTAGTTTTCGCTATAAAATGATTTTATGATAATTTATTATAAACAGAGCATTTACTTAAATATTTTTATCTATAAAAAGAATGTTAAACATAAAAATGTCTTAAAATAAATGTCGGACTTTGTCCATTTCATAATGTGTGACGTCATTTGTTTACATTTGATACGTCATGATCAGATATGAATGAACGTGAGAGATTCATGGAAGATTGAAGTTTGAATACAGTAAATTCGACCTTGCTAACCGGACGCTCTTCTGTGGCCAAATCGGTAAAGGTACGTCAAGTTGAATGACAGTTCCGAATAGAATACAGGTTCAAATCCTGTCGGAGGACGAACATTTTCTGTGAAAATTTCTCGTACATTCAGGCCGGTAAATGTTGTTTAATACTGTTTATTATAAACAGAGCATTTACTTAAATATAAAAATCTATAAAAAGAATGTATAAACATAAAATGTCTTAAAATATCAGGTCATCCCATAAGTTCTGTCCGAATTTTAACTTTTTTAAAAAAAATGAACGAAATTTAAAGAGTATTTTATAATGTCTAATGGAGCTGAACATTATTTTTATGTTAAACTGATCAAATTTTATTTCAAAGAACAATAAAATTAAATTTTGTTTGATTAAAACCCTGCTAACATGGAAGTACACAAGAATCATTTGAGGCACATAATGCTTTATGAGTTCAAGAAAGGAAACTCAGCAGCCGAAGCGGCCAGAAACATTCACTCAGTTTATGGAGAGGAATGTGTTAATGAAAGAACTTGCAGAAGATGGTTTGCAAAATTCAGAGGTGGAGATTTCACCCTTGGAGATGAAGATTGAACCGGACGTCCAGTTGAGTTTGATGAAAAGCTTCATGAAGCAGCCCTTGAAGAAAATCCTGCTTTATCAGTTGAGGAATTGGCAGTGGTTCTCAGTTCAAACCATACAACTGTTCATCGTCATCTTCAACAACTTGGAAAAGTTCCTAAACTTGAAAAATGGGTGCCTCATGAATTGTCTGAAAAATTCAAATCCCGAGTTGACATCTGCTCTTCTCTCCATTCTCGCACACTTGTTTCACCTTTTTTGGATAGACTTGTGACTGGCGACAAAAAATGGATCTTTTATCGAAATGTTAAGCGTCGTAGACAGTGGCTTGGTAAAGGGGAAGGACCCCAGCCACAGCCGAGAAGGGAACTGCATGGGAAAATGTTCTTTCAATCTGGTGGAATCGCCAAGGAATAATCCACTTTGAATTCTTACCACCTAATGCAACAATTATTGCTCAAATATACTATCAGCAATTAGAGCGTTTGAACCAAGCTTTGAGGAAGAAAAGACCTGCTCTAGTGAATCGAAAAGAGGTGATGTTTCATCAGGACAATGCGCGACCCCACACAGCAAGAATCACGTCACAAAAGATCGAAGAACTTGGTTGGGAGAAAATTCCTCATCCACCTTATTCTCCCGATCTTGCTCCTTCAGACTACCATTTGTTTCGTAGCTTACAGAATCATTTGGAAGAAACAGCTTTTGTAACACAGGAAGAGGTTAAAACGGAAATTGGTGAGTTCTTCGAATCAAAGCCAAAAGAATTTTACAGTAATGTAATTAGTAAGCTTGTTAATAGATGGAAGGAAGCCATTGTTGATTGAATCTGTAATTAGATGTAACATTTGGTCACTTGTTTTCTTTATTCAAAATTTGGACAGAGCTTATGGGATGACCTGATATATATATATATATATATATATATATATATATATATATATAACCACATTTTTAGTTTCAAATTAACAATTCATTCTTCATATGACCCCCAACTTAATGTCATAGGGTTAATATTTGGGTTTAATTTTATAAAACCTCATCCCTTTAAGGCTAATACCCCCCACATTCTCCTAACCACTGCCTCGTGCCTTTCGTCTGACTGAAACATTGAAATTGATAAATTCTGTATTAATTTTTCGATTGCTGTCAAAGTTGAATAAGACTTACGTAGTTTTCTTCAGTTAAAATAGATTTACACCCCCACTCCGATATAAGGTAATTTTGGATTTGGTTTTGTAATACTATATATATATATATATATATATATATATATATGTTTGCGTGTTTGTATTATAGCTCTAATTTATAGTGTAAAGTCGAATTTGTTGAGTATTGTATTGCTTCTTAAAGTGTCCTTTATTTACGTTCTATGGGTAATTGTGTTCGAATATGTGATTTCATAAAAAATGCCATAAAATTTGAAATGCGGTTTTGTAACCAATGTATCTCTTGTCGTTTCATTTCTGTTCAAATTTGAATTCTCTTATTAAAAATAATTTCATTGGCTTAATTCACATCAAAATCTTCTCGTATGTTATTTTCTTAACTTTCCTCTTCCTTTGTATCTGTGTAATTTTGAATATACTACTCACTTTCTTTTTCCTTTCTTTTTTGTCTATTCTCTTCGTAGTAGGGTAAATTTCTTATGCTTTCTTTCGTTCTTCTTTTTTTCCTCTTCCTCTTCCCTTTCCTAATTTCTTAATTTCTTTCCTTTTTCTTTATAAAAATCCTTTTTACCTTGTATAGAAAAATTTCCAATAACGGTAAATGAAGTGATGTTTCATAAATTGCAATTTTAAATAAGATCGTTTATTTCCATCATTGTTAATTACTTGAGGAGATCTTTCATTTAAACGTCGAAACAAAATGTACAATTTTGTAGTAGTTACTTACATTTTCCAATCTAACAGTGTGTATATATATATATATATATATATATATATATATATATATATATATATATATATATATTAAACGTTTTTATAAAATGAACACTTGTATTTGGATAGACGTTCTGGTTATTTATTAGGCAACATATTTATTTTTGTTTACTCTCCTGAATATACGAAAAACATTATTACAGAAATATATGTGTTCTCTGGGAGGAATAGAACGTGCGTGTTCCCCTAGGAGAAACCGTCTTTAGATCTGAGTCGCTGTAACCTCTCAGCTATCGAGTGCGGCGTTGAAATGCATATATCTGCTCATTTTCGTATCCTAACTTCATCCCATAAATATAGCACACCTTAAAACTATATTTGTTCATATATATATATATATATATATATATATATATATATATATATATATAATTTTGGGGATCATAGGTCTGCTCTACGGTTGTATTGAGCTCTTTTGTTAGTTGTTTACTCGTATCGGGTTTTTTTCTTTGGGCTTCAAACTTGTATCTGTGTGATTTTTTGCGACAGACTTTCATGTTTCTAGCTCTTTCTTTTTTTAATACCTTTTTTTCCTCGAGATTGATTTGATTATTTTCAAATCGAAAATTCGAGGTTTTTTCGAAACGAGTATATATATATATATATATATATATATATATATATATAGTGCTGTGCCAAACTGAACCTCTCAGATAATATTTTAAAAAAATGCTTGTATTTTTTTCAGATAATGAACAGATCTTATTTAAACTATATATTCATTGAGAAAAAAACTTTTTTAAATGAGTTACAAACACTCTCAAAGATTTTAAAATCACATTTTATTTTACCCCTTTGTTACTTACTCTCAGCTAGTGTGTACTGCGGCTGCATGAAT